GACATAGGATGAAAATAGTTTATTGGATTATTGAATTTGCAGTATATACAAAGATTTCTGATTTATAGCAAAGGGTATTCTTCAGAAACCAGGGAGTTCTCACTGAAATATTAATAGTGAAAGAGCAAGAATGGAAAATAGTAGCCCTAGGTGTAAGAGGTGAAGAACAAGGAAGGATTCCAAAGGGATAATATTCTAGGGCAAGACTAAGGCCATTGATCTCTCTCCATGTAAAGTAAATATTGTGTACATGATTTATTCGAAATATAAAATTGAGAAGGAAAAGATCTCTTGAAGTAAATATTGATAGAACTTCCAAGATTTTTTCAGTTGTGACTTGAGTGATAAGTCTTAAAATAAAAAGCCTTGGTGTTTACATTTTTCCTCTTGAAATAGTTCCATAGGAAATGTTACATGTTACTACCTAAACGAATGCCTTCAACCTCTCCTGCCCCCCCAAATCCAACAACTTTAAACTAACCCCAAGATAATTTTCTATGTTCCTTATTACCCTATTCATGTGATTTCACAAACTAGCTAAGCCAAAAGATAGTGTTTTCTTTCTACCTCTGAAATGGTAAATATGTTGATAGGCTTGTTCTCTTAGTCAATCCAGTTCTTTGCCAGTTTTCAGTAATAAAAATAAATCTATTTCACAGATGAGTTATTGCTTTATCTTTTCACAAAGCTCATTTGTCCTCCTGATACCTTTAAGAATATATTCTATTTTTCAGATATCCTCCCCAGCTCCTTTGCCTCCTGGGATATACTGAATTTCTTCAGCACATTTGGTTCTCTGGCAAAAAATATTGGGGGTTTTATAGTTAATTACCATGGAGAAGTCTTGCTCTTCAGATGTCCTTCACTTGTCTTTGTGCGATGCTAGAATCTTATTGATGCTCATTTAAAGGGTTATTAACTTTGGAATACCCAAATAAGAAGCAGCAAATGGCTCTTGTATGCTAAATTAGTATTGAAACTTTATGTTGAGCTTATATGACTACCAGGGAGCCATTTACTCAGAATCTCTTCCTGTAATGATTGCTGTGTAAAAGTAATTAACTCTTCATAGCCTTGGTATTATTTTAAGAGTATTGTTATATAATTTTAGATTCTTGTCATGTAGATTTTCCCATCCTGAAAAAAGAAAAGAAAAAATGAGACTTTTTGTAGTCCGTTACCAGCTGCATGATGTGTATATATATATATATATAGTTATTGATTTCAGAGAGGAAGGGAGATAAAGAGAGAGAAACATCAATGATGAGAGAGAATCATTGATTAGCTGCCTCCTGCACACCCCCTACTGGGGGTTGAGCCCACAACATGGACATGTGTCCAACTGGAATCGAACCCGTAACCCTTCAGTCCATAGGCCGATGCTCTATCCACTGAGCCAAACCAGCTAGGGCACCAGCTGCATGATTTTAATGCACTGAGTCTCATTCTTCCCACTAGAGTGAGCTTTAGGATCACTTCCAAATGTGACTTCTGAAAAGATGGTGACACTAGTAGCTCACATATCAATAGTACATGTTTTGTGGTCCATCATCTATAGTTTCTTATCTGTTACTTGTCTAATTCCTAAAAACAAAACAAAAAAAACCAACAACTAGAGATTTCAGTCTATCGCCATGACATAGTTTTTTCTGGGAAATCAACAGCTTACAGAGAATGTTCTGTAGGGCCTAAAATATACTCACCTCTAGCATCGAGTAGATCATTTCTAAAATTCATATATTCGTTTATTTGTACAACAAATATTGACTGAATACCTCCTGTGGACCAGATATTGTTATAGGCACTAGAGATACTTTATAAATAAGAGATTCCTCATCTGTAATCTATACATTTAAAAGCCTAAGCGACTGTCAGACTGTTTGACCATCCGACCGGTAGCTATGATGTGCACTGACCACCAAGGGGCAGACGCTCAATGCAGGAGCTGCCGAGCTGCGGTCACTTGGCAACTGCGGTTCTCTGGTGACACACCCGGAAGAACTAGAGAGGAGGGAGACCGATTCCGGGGTGCGTCACCAAAGAACCACCCTCTTGCAGTCTGGGACCTCTCGGTGGATATCAGAGAGCCAGTTTCGGCCTGATCCCCATAGGCCAGGCCGAGCGACCCCACCTGTGCAGAAATCCGCTTACCGGGCCTCTAGTGTAGGTATAATTGTTGTGCATACCTCATAGGGTTGATATGAAAGTTAAATTAGTTATATATATAAAGCAAAGGAACAGAGGCACAAAATAAGTGCTTAATAAATGGTAGCTTTTATTATTGTTATTACTTTAATAGAGGATACAGATAAACAAGTAAAATAGATAAATAATTTTATACTGTGAGCAGTGCTTTGAAGATAGTAAACAGAGTGCTTGACACTGAAAGATTGGGTGGGGAGTGGTTGCTGCTTTAGTGAGTATTGCCAGGGGATGCCTCACCAATGCACGCATGACCTGTGAACTGAGACTTAGAGATTGAGCACTCACTTGAAGAACTGGGAACAACACTTTATAAAGGCTCAGAATTGGGGGAAAGTATATTGTGTTCAGAAAACAGAAGAGCCATGTGAGTGAAGCTGTAGGCAAAGCCAGATCAGGTCAGATAGGCCATAAAGTGTTTTTTTGCTCTGTTGTTTGTAGTAAGAAGTTAAGACTACCATGCAGTTTTTAAGCAATTTTAAGGAATGTTATAATAGAATACAATTATTGATATAAGACTTTGTCTTCTATAATAAACAGTTTTTTTCTGCAGAAAATTTTTGAAGATCTCAAGTACCCAGAAATCTGGTTTTCTTTCATATTCATAAGTTGTCCTTTTTATTTGTGTCAAAGAATTTCTGGCTTAAGCAGCAAAATGTACAATGCTGATTATTTGTTAAATTTCCAGTACCACTTCTTTTTTCCTACAAAATTTGCCATGTAAGTTTCTTTTAAAAAAATATTTTTTATTGATTTCAGAGAGGAAGGAAGAGGGAGAAATAGAAACATCAATGATGAGAGAGAATCATTGATTGGCTGCCTCCTGCACACCCCCTACTGGGGACTGAGCCGCAACCCAGGCATATGCCCTTGAATCGAACCCAGGAACCTTCAGTCCACAGGCTAACGCTCTATCCACTGAGCCAAGCCAGCCAGGGCCATGTAAGTTTTTATGAAAGCACTAGAGGCCCAGTGAAT